TTCTCCTCATCCCCGAAAGGATTTTGAAGCACAAGTACTGAAAGGTCAGTCGAGGTTATCGGTATTCGAAGAGATTCCCTGACCAGTACTACGAAGTACTATGAAGTACTTTCCAACTTTCATCTTGTGTTCCCCCTAAAAGTTGTTTCAGCGCCTCACCATTGCAAGTGCAACTCGCCCCTATTGCCTTATGAACGGCCGTCCCCGATGCCTCCATCGACGAATAGCTGGAAGCAAGGTGGGCTTCCCTCCCCCTCCTATGGCCTCCTATGGCCTCCTGTGGCCTCCTATGGCCTCCTATGGCCTCCTCCCCCTTCCCACGGAGGCATCGATGCATGAGTGCTTTTGGAGCATCCAGCGCGATAGCTCTTATGAAATAGAACGTGGCTTACCAATGAACCTATCAGGTTCATTTGAATAATAATTTAAAAAAAAAAACTTGTAATCTGCTTCTTCGCTGTTTCTCGACACGTCACAGCAGGCACCGGCACCGATCGATAGGTACGAGATCCCCACTCGGTACAGTGCTGGCAATGCTTACCACTATCATCAGGAACGCAGTGAAAGGATCGAAAGGTCGTCGGGGTGCCCCAATCGTCTGAATCCAAATTGTCTTTTGCGCGATGAAATCGAATTTAGGAGATGAAATAACTTCTTGAGATGAATGCTTCGATGAGGTTCGTCGATATGACGAATATATATATATATAGAAAAAAGAGATGTTTTGATATTTGGTTATGCTGGGATCAGATGAAGGATTATCTGCAACGATTCCAGGCCCAATTCAAAATCGTGCTCAACGATCATATGTAGCGATTCCAGGCCCTATTCGTGATCATGCTCAAGGATCATATGCAGCGATTCCAGGCCCTATTCGTGATCATGCTCAAGGATCATATGCAGCGATTCCAGGCCGTATTCGTGATCATGCTCAAGTCCGGGAGAGACTCGCATCCGTCACCGAAGCAGAGACAGCTCAGGTTGCCAATCAGATTTTTCCATATGTGACTGGCAATTCGCAGAGATGATCCTACGGTTATTCGCTCAGCGAACAGAGGCGAGTGTGACTGCGCGGAAACCAAAGCGACCAACATGTTCAAGAATTGGGATTTGTTCAAGAATTGGGATTTGTTCAAGAATTGGGATTTGTTCAAGAATTGGGATTTGTTCAAGAATCGGGATTTGTTCAAGAATCGGGATTTGTTCAAGAATTATTCAAGGAATGAGAATCGTTCGCGAAATGAAATGGGGACGGAGAAAAAAAAACTTGGCTCTTCTTTCAAACCGTCCTTGACATCGCAGCCGCCGTTCGAGAAGGCGACGAACGCCGCGTCGGCCACAGAGTCGCCACCGGGAGACCCTGCGGCCGACGCAGCGATTCACCGACGAAAAGTCGCGCGCAAAAAAAAATATCACATTGGGGCCGCGGCGGGCGCATCACGTGAAGGGCCTCGCCGTGTAGGTCTCCCTGCAGGCGCGCGGCTGGAGGGTCATCACGATCGGCACGGGCGACTCGTGCATCCCCGCCTTCCCGCTCTTGGACGGCGCGGCCCCGCCATCCAGCGGGTACTTCCCGCTGCTCCTGAACAGTCCCAGGTGGAGGTTCGGCACCTTCTGCGGAAAGGAGGCCGGGATGGAATGCTTTCTCCCCTCAATGGGTGACGCTTCGCTTACCTTCGAGGAGAAGCTGAACTCGTCGGGATGAGCGTGGTCTGCCGGAGAAGGCGAGAACTCGTTCGTATCAGATATGGCATCCCGGAATGGTTCGGGCCCAAACCAGCTCAACATCACGGGCAAGTAGATGAGAACGTGATAAAGTCCATAGAGAACCGAGGCCCAGATAACCTGGAAAAAAAAGCCGCCAATCGCCAATCCTTCCGCATCCACAATGCATCGCTAGCCCCCCTACACTCTACAATTCACCGTCATATATGACGTCAATAGTAAATTTTCTTTGTGCACGCCCGACGAGCGCGTTCTCCCCCAAGCACAAAAATTATCTTAATGGGTTTGGTTTTATGTGTTTGCCCCAGTCGGTTACAGGGTTGTCCCATCCTCCTTTTGACCATATTTCATTATTCTTACTTCATACTGAGTATTAGACAAAATCAGGTATTTTTCCTTAATTCCTTATAATATGGTCAGTAATTAAGTCATCAAATCAGATTGAAAGAATCAAAACACTTTCCATCAATATGCAATATTATATTAGGATTAACAATATACCACACGAAAGCCAATTTCTCAAAGGTTATTAAAAAAAATTAACATCGTTTCATTTCATTACCACAGACCATTAAGAAGGGAAGAGAAAGGTGGGGAAAACATTCCAGTAGAAAAGGATGAGATTCCTGCAACTCTCTTTTTAACACCACAGGAGGAGTACACAGTATATTTCCTCCTTCCCTTCTTTTGTTGCGTTTTTCCCTTTTTAATCACCGTAAAAGTCAAGGGAACAAAGAGTTCTTCCAGGAAGGCCTAGGAGGCGAAAAGGGTGGAAGACCCCGTTCTTCACAATATCAAGAAAATTTTTAATGAAAAAATCATGCATACAAATGAATATTTATCATTCATATTTATTTATCATTCATATTCATCATTCATATTCATCATTCATATTCATCATTCATATTCATCATTCATATTCATCATTCAGATTCATAATTCATATTCATATTTCTCGAATTGTGTTCCACATCCCGTTTCTTTTGGGCTCTCTTCGCGCAGAGCTTTGTAATGTCCGCATAATTAGGCTACTAATTAGGCTACTAATTGGTTGCCATGGTTACCACGGTTTCTGAGTTGATCCCCGACAAATGAACGAATTGATGGGTGAAGCAAGCGCAAAAATTGCAATTCGATTGACCACGGCCGCTCAATCGAGCCTCAACCGACCCATAATTTCCTCCCTCAATCTGCAGCAGAATGCATGAAATAAATTATAATAATAACAAAAAAATAATAATAATAATACAGCATCTAATACTAAAAACAATCTCACACCAGGCGAGATGGACGTTCTTCTCCATCCCCGAAGAACATCCGAATTTAACCGTCTTCGGGACTGCCAACAAGTCACGCGTCTCTTCTCGGATTAAAAAGTCACTTAATCGTTTGCAAGAAAAAATTGAGAGTCCTACTTTTTGGCTTTCCTATTCTTCAGCACTTCCAGCGCAGAAAAATTCACCGAGAAACGCACTTCATCAGCATAGTGCCTAGTTCCCCTCGTCGCCCACAGATGTCTCTACCCGTCCGCGAGGGAATCCGCGGCGAAATTGCCACGCGGGTACTGGTACTGGTACGGACCGGTACTGATGGTCTCAAACCGCCCAAGTCCCGCTCCGGATCCAGATTAACCCTAATTAATAATAATAATTAATAACGAATTAACCGCTTACCGTCCTGAATCCACGGGGAACGCCGGAAGACAGACACAATTCCCCCCCCCCCTTTTTTTTATCAGCTGATCGCCTGAGGCGACGAGGCTTCGCTCTTTAAAAGCTTTTCATGCGTCGAGTCTTATCCTGCAGGCAACTTGTATTTTCCGTATTTCACTCAGCGTTTCAGTACCGGTGGATCGGTACTTTTTTTCTAAACGCACTTGTTTCTCCTCATCCCCGAAAGGATTTTGAAGCACAAGTACTGATAGGTCAGTCGAAGTTATCGGTATTCGAAGAGATTCCCTGACCAGTACTACGAAGTACTATGAAGTACTTTCCCCCTAAAAGTTGTTTCAGCGCCTCACCATTGCAAGTGCAACTCGCCCCTATTGCCTTATGAACGGCCGTCCCCGATGCCTCCACCGACGAATAGCTGGAGGCAAGGTGGGCTTCCCTCCCCCTCCTATGGCCTCCTATGACCTCCTTTGGCCTCCTATGGCCTCCTATGGCCTCCTCCCCTTTTCCACAGAGGCATCGATGCATGAGTGCTTTTGGAGCATCCAGCGCGATAGCTCTTATGAAATAGAACGTGGCTTACCAATGAACCTATCAGGTTCATTTGAATAATAATTTTAAAAAAAACTTGTAATCTGCTTCTTACCTGTTTCTCGACACGTCACAGTAGGCACCGGCACCGATCGATAGGTACGAGATCCCACTCGGTACAGTGCTGGTAATGCTTACCACTATCATCAGGAACGCAGTGAAAGGATCGAAAGGTCGTCGGGGTGCCCCAATCGTCTGAATCCAAATTGTCTTTTGCGCGATGAAATCGAATTCAGGAGATGAAATAACTTCTTGAGATGAATGCTTCGATGAGGTTCGTCGATATGACGAATATATATATATAGAAAAAAGAGATGTTTTGATATTTGGTTATGCTGGGATCAGATGAAGGATTATCTGCAGCGATTCCAGGCCCAATTCAAAATCGTGCTCAAGGATCATATGCAGCGATTCCAGGCCCTATTCGTGATCATGCTCAAGGATCATATGCAGCGATTCCAGGCCCTATTCGTGATCATGCTCAAGGATCATATGCAGCGATTCCAGGCCCTATTCGTGATCATGCTCAAGTCCGGGAGAGACTCGCATCCGTTACCGAAGCAGAGACAGCTCAGGTTGCCAATCAGATTTTTCCATATGTGACTGGCAATTCGCAGAGATGATCCTACGGTTATTCGCTCAGCGAACAGAGGCGAGTGTGACTGCGCGGAAACCAAAGCGACCAACATGTTCAAGAATTGGGATTTGTTCAAGAATTGGGATTTGTTCAAGAATTGGGATTTGTTCAAGAATTGGGATTTGTTCAAGAATTGGGATTTGTTCAAGAATTATTCAAGGAATGAGAATCGTTCGCGAAATGAAATGGGGACGGAGAAAAAAAAACTTGGCTCTTCTTTCAAACCGTCCTTGACATCGCAGCCGCCGTTCGAGAAGGCGACGAACGCCGCGTCGGCCACAGAGTCGCCACCGGGAGACCCTGCGGCCGACGCAGCGATTCACCGACGAAAAGTCGCGCGCAAAAAAAAATATCACATTGGGGCCGCGGCGGGCGCATCACGTGAAGGGCCTCGCCGTGTAGGTCTCCCTGCAGGCGCGCGGCTGGAGGGTCATCACGATCGGCACGGGCGACTCGTGCATCCCCGCCTTCCCGCTCTTGGACGGCGCGGCCCCGCCATCCAGCGGGTACTTCCCGCTGCTCCTGAACAGTCCCAGGTGGAGGTTCGGCACCTTCTGCGGAAAGGAGGCCTGGATGGAATGCTTTCTCCCCTCAATGGGTGACGCTTCGCTTACCTTCGAGGAGAAGCTGAACTCGTCGGGATGAGCGTGGTCAGCCGGAGAAGGCGAGAACTCGTTCGTATCAGATATGGCATCCCGGAATGGTTCGGGCCCAAACCAGCTCAACATCACGGGCAAGTAGATGAGACCGTGATAAAGTCCATAGAGAACCGAGGCCCAGATAACCTGGAAAAAAAAGCCGCCAATCGCCAATCCTTCCGCATCCACAATGCATCGCTAGCCCCCCTACACTCTACAATTCACCGTCATATATGACGTCAATAGTAAATTTTCTTTGTGCACGCCCGACGAGCGCGTTCTCCCCAAGCACAAAAATTGTTTTAAAATTCTCAGAGTTGCTGTCTCTCCAGTATTCCATTTCCAAGCTCGGATCAGAATTGGTCTTCGACCGGCATCAAAAGTGCGAACTGCAATTAATTTCCTACGACTCACGCGTCTAGAGTTGTCTTTCATCATTTTCAGCTCGAACGCTCTTCCGGCAATCGTAAAATTCATTACCGCCCGAATACAACGCGAACGAATTTCGTCAAAAAAAGTGGAGACTTCGCAACGCATGGCGCGAAATGTGTGGTTTCTTCACAAAAAAAAAAAAAAAATATATATATATCATAGGAACTGGAAAAAATAATCTACATATGTGTTACGCAGTTTGCCGAATCACCTAACCAAGAAGGAGAAATCGTGCGAAGAGCGAGAGTGGTCTCATATTGATAGTCACGGTCCTTGCACGAAAAAATACGTTAATTGATTAATTAAAAGTTAATTAGTTTCTTTCTCTGATGCTCCTTTTTTACGACCGGACCTTGGATCTCAACCACGCCCATTACACCAGATTGCTAATTGAATTTTTTCTTCCTAATAACTAGCAATTTTCCAAAGGGAAAGACCTCCGAATCGGACCACCCGCCGAACGGCGCACGCGATAAATCAATCGCAATCGCGTCCTGGGACGTGACGTCCGGTCGCGTCGGTCCGTGCATCCCCTTATCCGATGCCGTTCGAAATTTCAACTGTGTTTTACTTGTAGGCTACGAGGCGGAACTCGCTGAGAAGTGGAACTCACCCAATTGAGGGTTCCCTGATTACGTGAGGCAGCTCCTATTACTGATCCAAAGCGTGGCCCGTTGAGATTCGAACTTTATCCCTTTACTGATTGTATTTTCTCTCACTGCAAAGGCAGTTGCGCGGCCTCACGTCTCAATCCTTTCGAATATAGGGACCTTGCCCGTTAAGGGTCTTGCCCGAGACGAAGATCGGGACGAACCTTGAGGGTGCTCGTGAAGAGGTAATTGTCGCTGAACCAACAGAAGACGAAGGCCATCATGGTGGTGAACCCTCCGTTGAACACCGGAGGGCCGATGCTCGTCAGAGTGATTCTTACCCGGGCTGCAATGGAAGACGATCATCCGAGAACATGCCGACGTCCAGGTTTGGCGAGAAGTGGCACAAGTACGGTTTAGCAAAATAGCAAAATAGCAAAATAGCAAAATAGCAAAATAGCAGCAAAAATCGCTTAGGTCAGTCATTAAGCGTTACCCAATTCAAATAATTAAATGCATGTAATATCAAAATTAAATCATGTTTAGTCTTATCTTCTATGACAGACTTCATGAGAATTTCCCAATTAGGAAGGAACAGACACCCACCGTCTTTCGAGTCGGCATGGGTCACCATGAACTTGTGGGCGATGTGAGTCGAATAGTCAACCGCAAGCCCCACGGACAAGATGATGAGGATGCACGTGAGCAGCTCAAGCGTCAGCCCGAACAGCTGGATGCTCCCAGCGATCCCAACGAGGGTGAGGAGGATGCACGACAGGACCCAGACGGAGACGCGCAGGTCCCCCACCAGGAGGAGGATGACGACGAAGACCCCAACCAAGGTGAGCCCCACGTTCCGCGGTAACTCGTCTGATACCATCTGCGGTCGATCTCTCGTCATCGTCTCGATCGTTTACCCTCAGCAACCCTGTGAACTCACCCTGTTGGCTTCGATGTGTATGTGCCCGCTGGAGTAGCAGCCTCGGAAGGGGTCGCCGTGCTTGAACGTCGCGTTCTGCAACGCTTCTCTGACTTCAACAAAGGCTTGGTGCTTCTCCAGGCTCGTTTTCAGCGTTATTTCTTGATAAGCCCCACGAGATGCCTTAACGAGCGACAACTCTGCGTTACGGGACCCGCTCAAACCGACCTCGAAAACCCGACCAACTTACCATAATGTCGAAATCCACCAGGAGGTTTCCCGTATACACGATATCGCGTAGATACTTCCGTCCCGCATCTCTAAAGACGAGGAACGTGGACACTTCGTCCTTGAACTCCGCCTCCGTCTTCGGGTATTCCTCTACGAACGAAAGGCCGCCTCGTTATGAAAGGCTCATCCCCGATCGACACGACCAACAGGCAACAAGATCGGGCTGGGACATACTTCCTTCCTCTGTTAAATATTGAAGGAACCGATGATACCAGAAGTCGATGGAATCGCTCTTGATCAATTCCAATGAAGATAAATTCCTAGCAAGGCCTTCCAAGGCTTCTCGTTCCCTAAAGTAGTCAACGTCCCCTGGAACGAATTTGCCATTGCGTGATCACCACACAATTCACAGGTCTCGCTTACCCAATAAAGTAACCCTATAACCAAAGACCAATTTACTGATTCATTACTTGCGAAGTAAAAACTTCACCTATCGATATTTGGCAAGCAGATGGGAAATCATAGGTGCATTAAAAGGCGGTCATGTCAATGTGTGTGTGCTTAACCCTTGCCGACACATTTCTCGGTTCTATTTCCATGAAAGCATTCGCAATTAAAAATCAACGGTAGCTCTACATCATACTGATTACCATAGTTACCTTCGTGTTGACAACGTCAGGTCAATTGCCTCATGAGCCGCCAGGTCAAATGCTTTAAAAGTAAATCCATGCAAAAACTTTCTGCAATTGCCTAACCCACGAGCAGAAGCACTTATCCCTAATCAAGGTTTTCCCCCATGCAGTTACCCAGGTAAAAGGTGCCTCTGGCGCCACTCTCCGGAAATATATTTTCCACCAGCATGACGAAATCCTTTGGATAACTCGGCCCGAGGTACCAATAGGCGTCGGAGGACTTTTCCAATTTGGTCATCTCCCAGCTGTTGATCCCCAGCAGACCCAAGGTGGCCAGGACCACCAGCACCTGAATGCACAGACGTCACTCACGGCCGGTCCTTTCAGGGTACCAAGGGTACCAGTACCTGAAGGGTACCAAGTACCGAGGGGTCACAGTACCTTGACGGGGGTCTGGGAGAGAGCAGGCCCCACGATCTTGTCGAAGACGACGGCGAGGAACTGCTTCTGGGAGCAGGCGGCGGGCTTGTACTTGCTGGAGAGCGGGATGCAGAGGCAGCCCTCCCGGTTGCTGTCCTTCCTCTTCTCGTCCAGCGCCATGCTCGGGACCATCAGCAGAAGGGTCATGACGTAGATGATGAGGATCCCCACCGCCGTGTAGATGCAGAAGCTCCGCAGCATCGGCACGGTCTTGGAAAACACAGTCGAACAGTGCAGAAATTCTCTGATACGACGCTGCGCCGAGTGAGCTGAAAAGTCTGGTGCCAAAAAATTACAGAGCCTTCATCGAAACAGACTGCCCTCGAGCAGGAACTCCAATATAATTTGAGACAGTTGCGCCGCGAGACTGAATTTTACGTTGATTGAGCTCTGCTTCTATAATTTTATGCTCATCTCTCCAGTTTTCAACAGCAGACAGACCGATGACGACCGTTCTTACAGTGGTCGCGCCCATGCAGAACGCGAAGATGTCCGTGAGCGTCGTGATCGTGATGGACACGCCGGACTGCTTCAGCGCCAGGGCGACCCGTTCCGCGGGCGTCCACGTCCCGCCCGCCGAGATCACGTTGTCCAGGCTCTGCAAAGAGCGATGCGACCGCGGAAACGGCGAATGTGAGGATCTGACGCGAGACGGGATCTGCGGACCTGGAAGATGACGAGGGTGTCGTCGATGCCGATCCCGAGGATGAGGAATGGCATGATGTTGTGCAGCTCGAAGTATGGTATGCCTAAAAATAGGCATAACCCCGTCGCACTCACAATAGTCATGCCAATTGCCAGAAGGCTCTCCAAGCCAATGAGTATCTGTAAAAAAAATATGGAAAGGTAGGAACTTGTTGCATATGGCGTTCTCTGAGTCCTGAATTGACAGTGACCCTCAAGTGCATGGAATTACATATGGGCACTGTCTATGTAGGAACCCAAATGGCAGAATGGAGCCTATTCCAGAAATCAACGGGCATAAAAAAATTAATTTTATATAGGAGCACCAAGTAAATAATTTCTTTAACCTTGCCATTTGAGTTCCTTCCGCTGCAAGCCATGACCGACTAGAGCTAAGTAACGCTACTCATCCCCCGTGATTCCCAAAATGACCCCTAATTCAACACTAATGATGTCCTTGGCTGTTTTAAACAGCGCCTCATTCAGAACTTCCGACCAGCCGAGGCCACAGGTCCATTAATGACGACCTTGAGTCCATACCCAAACGGGGAACCAAATCCCACTTGCGAAGATTGCAAAAAAATTGCCTCCATCGGATTCAGAACGGGGGAACGAGAAAACGCTCGACGCCGTCCACCATAGAATTCCTTCAATTTGGGAGGTTTCCACCGTCTACAGATCCCCGCCCGAACTCGATGGGAACTTTGCATGGAGAGCTTAAAGGCTCACTCGGTGCTGCAGGAGGTTCAACTTCCCCATGCTGAGGGCGACGAAGATGGTGATGAAGATGAACCCGAAGCCGAAGAGCGGCAGGTTCCCCTGTATCATTTTCCCCACCACGTCTCGATAGCTGAAAATAAAAAATAATAATAATATATTTAATAAATAATTTACATTTTATAAATTAAAAATAAATAAATAAACAAATAGTGGAAAGTACGAGGAAAGCATGGAAGCGTCAGGCGACTGACCTTCGTCCGGCGTAAGCGTATGTTCCGAGTCCCTCTGGTTTCGAGACCGAGTAACTGAAAACCAGATCGATGAATTCCTTCTCCCATGGCTCTGCTATGAGATCCATCTGCCAAAGAGAAAAACCATCCAAGGCATTAAATGCTTGTGCAAAACATTTATCTGTCACTCCGGACGGATTCCTACCCGCAATCCCTTGGAGGAAGTGACGTTGGTCCGGTCCTTGAGAATGTAGACGCTCATGATTCCTTTGGCTGAAATGACTCTTCCGTTTTGATCTCTTTCTACCTTTGCTAAAATCACGTCCACGTCCTTCGGAGCGGTGGAACTGGCAACAGATGGGACATTTCTGGAGTCAAGACTGCAATTGAAAAAAAAATTACAATTGGAACAAAATTTGAAGGCATACTCTTGATCGAGGGCATTCGTGACTTTGTCCAATATCTCCTCCTGGGTGATGTTCTCGAAGTCGTAGTCAACATCCCATAAGAGCAGAGTGCTGACGTAGATGCACCGATCGTCGAAGAAAGTGTTTTCCTCGTCCTTCTCCGCCCCGAACAGCGGGGTCTCGTCCGCGCTGGCTTTCCAGCCGTAGTCCCCGTAGTCCTCGTAGTCGCCTCCTTTCCCGACCGACCCGATTGTGCTCGGGGGCGACGATGGAGGTTCCTGCGACTCCGCTTGGTCGTCTTCGCCGTCGGAGCTTGGGGGCTTGGATGCTTGCGGAGGTTCGGAGGAGGTGACTTGGTCTACTCGTCGTGGATTCGTCGGTTCCGTCACGTGTTCCTCTTGGGCCTTGGGTGGTTTTTCTGTGCTGAATAAGAACGGAAAGGAATCTTCGGTGGGGTCAGGATTCTCGTTAAGATCCTCGATTTCGCTTTCTTCCTGTGGCGCTTCTGTTGCGTCGTATTCCTCATGTATTAAGGGAGGTTGCTCGTTCACGATCGGAGCGACTGACTTGAGGGTCGTCTCGGCGGTGGTGGGTAAGTGTTCACTCTCTTCGAATTTCGGGATTTCCTCTGGCGCGGTCCACTCCAAGGCTAAGTCCGGGATTGGGGAGGAATCGACGTCTGCCTTCGTTGTCGACGTCTGCGGCTCAGTCGATGCTTCCGGTTCCTGTTTTGGGAACCAGTCTTCGTAGGCATAGGAATCGTCCATGGAGTCGATCTCGGGGTCCAAAGGATCAGCTTCGCTTGGTGGTGCCAGATCAGCGGTCGGTCCAGAAATCGTCACTTTGGGGGATTCGGAGGGAATCGGGAATTCCGGGGCAATTGGAAATCCTCCTTCAAACTGGAATTCTTCTTCTTTCCCCTGTTCGTCATTGACAGAGGAATCATTCTTGAGAGGAAGTTTGTCTAAATCATCAGCTTTGATGCCTGAGTCATCAGCTTTGATGTCTGAGTCATCAGCCATCAGCATTGCTTCGATGTCCGTGTCAGGTTGTTCCATCTTCGTCATGGGATCGGGTATGAGCATTTCGGAAGGAATTTCTTGTGATACTCCTGAGGATTCCAGTTGCGAGGGTCCTAAGAGAGGCGAGAATTGAATCAGAAATAAATAAAAAAATAAAAATAAATAAAACTAAGTCCAGAGTTTCAGCTTCGAAGTTGGATTTCACGCTCAGTTCCATCCGCAAGCCATCGAGACTCGGCTCGGATTGAGCAGCGATCCAATTCGGGGATTTTTCACGCCGTCATCATGACCCATGAGGGCGATTGAAGGGCACGGAGCAACGCATTTGTTCACGTCGCCCTGAACCTTTTTTTTTTCCTGCGCATAAGATTCCAACCTAATTCGTTCTTCGCTCGAAAATCGTCATTTCCGACTCAAACTTCCTGCAAAATTTATTTTTTATAATGGAAATCCTGAAAAAAGGGGAAAATGTTGCTACGACAATGTCTTAAAGAGACTTTCTCCGTCGAACCCGATTTTCTCCCACATTGCGGGTGAACCGGAGTCGGATTGAAACAACGGTGAAATTCGACATTAAATGGTGCAGAACAGTGCTACAATAAATATTAACTAATTATTACATCAAAATACCCCACACCCCCAAAATAGCCCGAAAATAAAAGTCCTCACTCCGTCATTCCTTTTTTAAAAAAATCTGAATCCAAATTCTGAGTCGTATTTGACCCAGATACACTGAGTTTTATCGCCAAGGTCGCACCTTAAGGATTTGGAAATCACCTTTTTTAAGAGATTTTTTTTCCTGTGAAACATTTTTTGGAAGCAAAATATTCATGAGAAATCATGAAGCAAGACATTCATGAGAAACCACGAAGCAAAATATTCATGAGAAACCATGAAGCAAAGATATTCATGAGAAATCATGAAGCAAAATATTCATGAGAAATCATGAATATTTGCAGAGCTCTTACCTTCCGCAGGGTAATCGTAGTAGTCCGCATACTCGCTGGAGTCCGTCCGTGCATCCGTCCCTCTCTTCCGCCGGTCCTTCGCCTTCGACGTCCCTTCGAGGAACTCGTCTGGCCTGAGCATAAAAAAAAAACGTGGAAAACCTCATTGCGGTCGTCAGTTCGGCCGAAAGCGAGCAGCCGATCTGACGAAGGCAATTCCTCGGACACAGAGCAGGCCAAAAAGAAATACTCTAAGCTGAAAGGAGTTTTTCTTTTCTGCCATTTCTACTACTTTCGCAAAACTCGCACTGTGCGTAGGCTGGCAATTTCTCAAATTTGAATTTAATAAAAAATTCATTGCTCTGAGGCAGGTTAACGAAGAATTATACGAAATTAGCATGATGTTGAGTACGGAGTGTAGCGGGTGCGGCAGTAGAGTCGTGAAAATGACTGTGTTCTGGTTTCAAATCACCCGCCTCATCGAATGGCTCAGTAAATTTTTGCTCAATAAGATGTAAATTAATTTGTACCAAATATACGGGCTTCGCGCCTTGCATAACATATTTTGGTACTTGCATAAACCAATACGAAGAATGGGGTGGGAGGGGACAGGAAACGTGTAACTCATTGGCGATGCTCGATTCAATCCAAATTGCATGAAGTCGCTGGCATTTCAAGCATCAGAATAGTCTGCGAATATGGGGCTGGATCACGGAGTTCTTAAAGCGTTGTCTCATTCCTTCCGAGAATTAAAGCAGTGGGATCGAAAAAATCCTGTAGGCGGCTGAAAGTCAAGGTAAATGCGTCCCGTGCTGCTGCTTCATCCAGCCGATTTCAAAGGAGAGGAAGCGAGAATCGAGATGACGTTGCAAAAAAAACGCAAAGCAGTTCATTATCATTACCTGGCACAAACATCCTCCCACGAGTGGCCGTTCGCAGTTATCGACCGAATCTTCTTGTCCAACCTCGCCAGCTGCGGAGAAAATGGAACAAGGCGGTAGCCGGCACGTGCAATGCAAGCACGAAAACGCGGCGAGCTTACGTATTTGAAGAATTCCGGCGTGAGGACATTCGGTCCGGTGAGGATGAGGTTCTCGTACCGAACTCCCTCGGGGAAGTTCTCCCTCATCCACTCCTGCGTCCGATACAAATAGGAATCCGGCTGGAACCAGGCCTCCACGTTCTCCCCGTGCTCCTCCCTCCAGTAGACGAGCCCCGGCCCGCACGCGGCCGCCAGCAGGAAGGCCAGCCCCACGTACGGCCAGGGCCGACTCGCCATGTGGTATCCGCATCTGCGAGGATCCGATTGTCTCGCGATTGCTGCAGCGTCATTTCGCGACCGGGAGGTCGAACTCGTTCGCGGCAAACGTGCATGCGGCCACGTCCGCATGCCGCGAAGGTAATAATACAGCTTCCAAGATTGCAGTAATTTCGCGATATATATGCAAAATCGAGACAATTTTCGCCGGTTGTTGCCGTGACTGACCGATATGAAAACTTGCTTTAAAAAAAAATGGGAATCATGAGCATATGCAGAGTCAATCTCATAATACGATCTTAAACGATCCATTCGATTGGAATGGTTCAATTCAAGACGCGCGTTTTAGGGACATACCGAATGTCCAGAAGATCAGGTTACAATTTAAAAAAAAGTATTAATTGATACGCCGGGGGATCGTATAGAATTTCCATAAAATTCACACACGTAGCTGGGATATCATCATTTTTTTCCATGGCGACAAAGAAGTTCATACTGCAGCCGCAGCGGCGCCAGGTGCAATAATAATAAAATTTGCACTCAATTTAGCAAATTGGCAACCCCCCCAAGGCAGGCACAACGTGCTCTCCGATTTGCAATTTTACAGTCCACGACCGCAGCGCAGCGACGATTCAACGCGCTGCAGCTACAGTTTGAAAGTTAAAAAAAAAAGGATTTCCAAGCTACATGGGTGAATTTTTATTGAAAAAATTGCATAGAAGAATTTCTGCATGGAAAAAAAAAATTGATTTCTCCCAACAGATTGACGGATTCCCGTTTCGTTCGGGATTTCGAATCGATTTCCCTTTTTTTGCTCAAAAAACGAAATTCATTTTGGCAGGGCGTCGAACCCCATCAAATGCACTCGGGTGAGGGCTCAAATGCAAAAAATAATCAACTATAAATGACTAAAAATAAATAACCAAAAATAAAAAAATTAAATAACTAAAATAAATTAAACCAAATAACTAAAAATAAATGATTAAATAAAATAACTAAAAATAAATGATTAAAATAACTACAAATAAATTATTCAATCAAATAACTAAAGATAAATAACACTCACCTGTAGAAAAACTTCTCCAAGAAGATATGAACCCTGAGGCTCAACTGCCTGAGCACATTGCGACCCATGTCCGCAGATGCACGCTCGGTCGCTCACTGCCGTTCGCGGCGGAACGAGCCGGCGCGGCTCTTGTATTAGCGCTGCGTCACGCTGGAGGATGCGCGAGTCACCGCCGCTCCGTTTAAGTCCGGAAAAAAAAAATTCCGTTCTTGCGGAACGGAAAACAGCAAACTTTTTGCTGATGGAGTTGAAATTTAAAATTTAAAAATTTTCATGAAATTTAGTTATTATTATTATTATTACTTTTTTTTTTGGGGGGGGGGAACTTTCAGCTTCAGGAGAGTGATCTTAAAAAATTACTCGCTATCTTGACCTTTCTCATGTTGACCTTCGTGACTGACCTTCGCGTTCCCACAAGGACTCCGATCATCTCTTCCTTTCAAGGTCTGAATTTCAAGAATTCCTCGACTGAATAAATATTTTAAACAAATATTTCTCGAGATTTGGGCGCGACTTGGTGACTACGCGCCTGTCTGTCGGATGTAGGAAAAAAATTTTTTAAATAAAAATTTAATCAAGGAAATCCGGTGCAGAATTCGTTATATCGAATTTGAATATAGCGGATTTGATATATATAGAAAATACTTCCGGTAAGAATTAATGCTTCGATATTGTTACCTTGGTATATTGCTCAGAAGTGATCACGCAAGCCTTGAAACCACGGCCTCGTCACAGGCGATTCATTTCCGTCCCAGCCACCGTCTCGTCATTCATCGGTGAATACGAAGGGCAACCTCGCCGTCATGAGAAGGGCAACCTCGCCGTCCTGCGAAGGGCAACCTCGGATGAACGGAGACTCGCGACGGAGGGAAAATATTATAATCAAATAAATATTCGCCATTGGATGCAGCCCAAATTGCCGAGGATCGAACTATTCCGCAAAATCCATGAGAAATCTAAAAGCGTTTTTTTAAAATTATTATTCCTGCACGATCGAAAAACTTTTCTCGCCGTGAAGGAAAGGGATCGACGTCGCACGAGAGAGTCACCAATTCCAGGAAATCGTTTCATCGTGCATAAATTCAGGATCATCACGAATATAATAATGAATAATAATGAATAATAATGAATAATAATGACCTCTCTGTCTCGCAGTCACGAGAGAAAGCCTCCAGCCAGAAAAATCCTTGGGCCCCCTCGCGAGACTCAGTCGACTCGGCGAAGTACCGGAAACGTACTGGAAAAGTACTGGAAACCATGAGAAAAGGTCGAACGAACGCCATCGCGACCGCGAAATCCAATCCACCAAGGTGGTTCCCGAAGTTTCCGCGAAGTCGCCGTACAAAATCGCGGAAAAACTCTATATCGAACCCGCAGAGAATGCAATCCCAATCGACAGTGTTGCTGAATGCGGAACTCTCAAGAGACGCGAAAAATCGAGTAGTCTGAGAAATCCAAAATTTTTTTCGCCATTTTCCATGAATATCGTCGGGCGACGATTTTTTTCATGTCATTAAATATGAACCACGTCAGAATTTACCGCAGCAACACAAAAGCCCAAAAAAAAGTTTGCAGAGTCGCAAGAACGAATGGGAATTCTTCGGCGCGCCAAGGAAATGGATGAAGCAGAGGAGAAAATGCAGAGCATTTTGCCCCTCCTTGAAATTCTTCGAAGTCATTAAAAATATATTAAGATGAAAATACGCAAAACTTTATGTTTGTTTACAATCTCGAATTGTCTGGTCGATATTTGCCACAAAAAAGGCTATGAAGAGGACAAGGTGGATGGGGAATCAGTACCCCTATGTCCCCCATTTCCAGAAAACTATTATTTCGCAAGGTCTGCGGAACGATGAATGTCGGCCAATGTCGATCAATGTCGCAATGTCGAACAATGTCGAACAATGTCGAACAATGTCGGCCAATGTCGGACAATGTCGAACAATGTCGAACAATGAGGAACTACAACTGGAATATGGATTTCAAAGTCACAATTTTAGCTCGGTACAATCTACCTGATGACACAAAGGGTTTTCTTGAGGCTCAATCAAAAATCCGACCGAAAACAAATTCGAAGCTAATCATTGACGAAATAAATAAAATACCACACTGAAAACCGATTTAAAAAACTTATCAATGAATAGAAATAGGGAAACAGTAATTAAAATAAACTAATTGAAAAGCTTAACTTTTTCGAAGATTCCAAGAAACATCTAAGAAATACTTAAATACAACTGAAATGTGCGAACATTTTGATTGCATGAAGCGGCAAGTTTTTTAATTTCACAATATGAAACGCATTCCAAAGCGTGCAATGTAAAACATAGTGTTTCGAAAACACAAGAAAAAAAAACGGCATGGAGACGAAAGTCAACATCGAAACCATCCAGCAGTTCCCGAGGAAAACAAGTCCAAACATCCAAATAAAAATTTTTTTAAGACGCAAAATTCAAATTCACCAGAAACCGTGTGCGTGGAAATTAAGGAACGTCACATGATCACTCGGCAAGCTCTCTCGCAGCTCCTCAAATTAAGTCTCTCCACTATTTCCCACTTGGTTCCATCAAAGACTTCGATGGAGTCTTTTAGGGTTCCTCCGATGGCATACAGACTCCCGCCAGCAGATAAGAGTCCGTGGCTCTGCCGTACTTCCTGCATGGCCGGCATCTTCCGCCACGAATTCTGTCTGATATCGTACAAGTACACGTCTCTTCTATGCTCTTTGGCGTCGCTGCCCCCGGTGAGAAGGAGGTCGCCGGAATACGACACGACAGCGGGATTCCTTCTTCCCTGAGGGAGCTTAGCCAGTTCCATCCACTTTGACGTGCGGGGATCTAACATCT